TTACGATTACGGTGCGAACGATATAGCGCTCGCGCTTCTCTCTCTCTCTCTCTCTCGGGCAAGTTTCTCCTCTTTCGGATCGAGTTTCCGGTTCCATCTTGCCGCGCGCCCGCGAAACTCGGGTCTAACGTGTAATTTTCCGCGTATACCGCGTTTACTCCGACACAGACGGGGCCGTCGCGCGTCTCCGACGGGGATCTCCGTCGCGCGGGCTCTCGCGCGGGCGGCGAGACGAGAAGCGAATCTCTTTCCGAGTCCGAGAGGCGAGAACTTTCGTTCGAGGCGCGGCCGAAACTTTCCGGTAACTTGTTTCGCTGGAAAATAGCCCAAGTTTTCTTCGACGGCGACGATATCCCGTGAGCCCGGATATTTTATTCTCGACGCCGTGGTGTCGGGAGGTCGTCGTCGTCGTAGACTGATCTCGTGGCGAATCCCGAGGGATCGTCGAGCAGATTTGCGCATAGGACTCACGCGTGAACGTAGCAACGACTGATCGCCTCTCGTTCTCTCTCAGCCATTCTTAAGACCGAAACGGACTAGCAATTGACGCTAATTGGGATTGGCGATTGTCTTGTAGCCAATGAGGGCGAAGCAGCGATTTAATCGACTCTCATTGGCTAGAGGACAGTCGTCGGTCGCCAATCCCGATCCAATCCGAGTCGGCAATTGCTAGTCCGAATCGGCCTTAACGCAGCGATTACGCGAAACTTCCGCCATGCACGCATATTTACGACACGACGGTCGCGTGAAAGGAAAACGATCTCGCGATACTGGATGCGTCGACATTTGTTCGCGCGCGTCTTTCGGAATTCCGTCAGCCTTAACAGCTTCCGGAATTCCCGACCGCATCCCAGCGCGATCAAGGAGGTGCGGCCGGGTTACCGCGACGGCGGTGTTCGTGAAAAATTCAAGGCGGTCAGCCCGGTAATTTGAAGGCGGTTAATAGCGAGCGTGTGCTGAAGAGAGGCGAGGAGCAACGGAGAGAACGAGCTCCGGGGGCGCGCGCGCGCGCGCGCGTGCAAGAGAGAGAGAGAGGGAGAAACGGGGAGAGATTCACAAGCGGGGTAAAATCGCGCACGAGCTCGGCGCGATATTTAATTCACGAATCCTCTCGGTGCCGCGGCCAGGGTGGCTCATGTCTTCCCTGTCGGTCGGCCGACGGCGGGGAGGAAAGCGGCTGAAAGGGAAAGACGAAGGGGATGACGGAGACGGGCGTACGCACCGCGTCGCGGACCGGACAGAGAAGTCCAGGACAGACGGAGGAGGAACGAGAGAAAGAGAGAGAGAGAGGGGGGGGAGAGGGGCCTCATTTCCATTAGCGGCATGCATCATACAGAAACTAGCCGGACTATATACACGGCTGTTCTGCTGCACGTCGAAACAAATTGAGATGCAGACTGCTGCTGAATGACGCCGACGGACGCCGTCTCTGTGCGCGTCGAGACGCCGCCGTCGCCGCTTATCCTCTCCCCTTTCTCCCCGCCCCCTCGTCTTCCTCTTTCTCCCCCGAAGATGATTTTCTCCTCGTTTGCTGAAGCCCTTAAGTGTGACGTTCAAGAAAGACTCGGTATAACGTTGCCCGTAATATAGTGACGGCCGGTAAAATATTTATATTCCGAGGCGCGAGGTGAGCCACGTCCCAGATGTGAACGGGGATAAACAGTTGCCCCCCCCCTCCTTTGTATTTTTAAGAATTTTTATATACCGGATAGCTGTGGGAACACCACTTCCTAGTTTGATCGTTTTGGTCTCGTTCTTCGTCCGGGTCCCTCTTGGGGCGGGAGAGAGAAAGGGGAACGTCGCGATCCCTGTTCGCCCTTAATTACTCGGCCGCGTATAATACGCAATGTTTTTATTACAAAAATCTTCTATCACGTCCCGTTCCCGTCGCAACGTACGCGTCGAACGGGATTATCCGCGAGAAAGAGAGAGAAAGAGAGAAAGGCACTCGGACGGGCGTTATGCATTCCGAGCGGGACGTAAGAACGACCTGAAAGGGACGGCCTGAAAAAAAGAAGAGGGGCGTGAAGGGGGGAAAGACGGGGAAAAAATGCGGAAAAGGGGAAAGAGAGAGGACGCAGCCGGGGGTGGGCGACCGCGATATACAGGGACGCTCGCAATTTTCTCGTCAATGCACACGTCAACCGGCACGTCGCGTATGCACTCTGCACGGTGTATTCCGCGAGCTGCACCGCAGAGCGCGGCATGGCGCGGCGCGGGGAACGCGAGACAATGAAAAATGCACGCGCCGCGATATACTACTTGCGCGTCCAAGTTACAACTGCAGAGCACAGGCTCAATCTCTCTCTCTCTCCCTCCCTCTCCCTCTTTCGCCCTATCTGTCTCCCTTTTTCCTCTTTCTCTTTCTCTTTCTCCCGTCTCCCCCTCTTGGTCTCTCACTTATGCGTCCTCCTCCAGCTCGAGCGACGCTCGTCGGAAACAGCGAGCGGGCTGCTCAATAATTCTTTGTGTGGTTTAGCCGAGAGATGCGTGTGCACGTGTATTGACGCGGGGCTATTTCGCGAAATTGCCAGCGCTCGGTGCCATCCCCCTCGTGTCACGATGGCGGAGACGTTATTTCGCTGCACACCATCGCCGCCGCCTTTCGCTTCCTCGTAGAAAGCCCTTCCCTCCCGTTCTGATGACCGCGAGAAACCCCGAAACGCGATTTACGGTAACTGCAGCGCGACGAGGGGGGAGCGCGCACATTTGAATAGATTTGAACAATTTAAATATACCGCGGCACAATACGAGGTTCTCGTGCACCGCGCTTTCCGCGCTCGCGGAGAGTGACGTTTCCGCGTTCTCGGAAATCAAAAAGAATACTGTAAAATCGTCCATTGTGGAATGGCATTTAAGTTGTTCGCGTCTACTTCGATACTCAAGTATGAAGGATTAATGCATTTATAATAATTTAAATCCATTTTACTTCCGTAATAGCCTTGATAAATTCTACAATTCTACAGTATAAAAGCTGCAATCCTTAGTGGACGAGACGGATGACGGCGCAGGCCGAGAACATTTTCCGCGCGAGCGTCTCTCAAAGCGACGTTCGGCTCTTCCGCTTCGCGAGCGGAATTCGCGATCTGCGAAACTTTTGCCGAGCGCACGGCAGGGAAAAAGGGGGGGGGAAGAAATAGGGTAGAAGGATTCGAGCGGCGATCGAGCGCGACCCTTAGGAATTAATTTGAAAAGTCAGGCCGAAGAGAGGCCCGGCCGGAAGTATAATGTGTACAAGAAGCGTAACGGCACATGCCCGCCTACGATATTGCAGAAATCGCAAAATTCGAAAGCACGAGGGGAAGAGGCGAAACTTTTCAAATGAGCCAACTTTGCGTGTGTCTTGCGCTTTCGGTGCCCCCGTCTCACGAGTCCCCTTGGGAAGCCTCGCATATTAGCAAAGTTGTCGGCCGAGGTGAACAGTTCGGATTACCTCGCGTTTCCGGTATGCACGATTTTTCTCTCGCAGCCCCCGGAAAATTTTCGACAAGTCGCCTCCTCGCCTCGCGTCAAAAAACAATTGCGGGGGAAAAAAGTAAGGCTCTCCCAGAGCGAAATTATTGTATTTAACCTGCCCAGCTCGTGAACACCGTTCGCACTTGATTGTAAACGATTGAGGGGATCCTTAAGCCGTCTGTTTTATCGACATTCTTTGTTGCAAGTAATCTTTTAATCGGCTTTATAGAAATGCAAAACTCTTTTACGGAATTTAAAGTACGCAGCAAAATCTAGACTATGCTGGCCGACTTTATATAAAAAACGAAAAGAAATTAAAAATTTTACTATTATAATTTTTGGTACACGTGACGACAATATTTGCTCGATACAAGAATTCTACAATAAATGTATGCCAAATGAGACCAGCATACTCTAGGGACAACATATAAGAACAATATCGTGCAATTAGAACTAAGATTAATAGTCTCGAAAAAAAGATCACTTATAATAAACGCAAGTCCAGAAACCCAAGGTGGTCGCTGCCAAACATCTGTCAGATTGTCAGTAAAGCCACGGCGTTGATGCTAGAATTCGATCCAAAATCTCGGTCTGAGCAATGTGTAGCTAATAAAATTGCTGCTTTTTCGTAAAAGTTGCAAATTGACTGGCTATACATTTCTCGGACCGAGTCGAACTTGAAACTAAAAATGTCGATAATTGACGTTTTTAATTCCGTCTCCTATCTTATCGACGCTGATCGAGGTCCGGTTGCACCAACGTCGCTTAACTTTAACCTTGGCTCAATTTGCTCCTTGTCTCTTTCCCAGGGGAACGGTAAAAAGAGACGCAGGGTGAATTAAAGTTAAAGTTCCGTGACGTCGGTGCAACCGGGTCTAAATCTTTTTTGTGTCGCATTTGTCCCTATCTGATTGTTATTATTAACATGTTATTTGTTTAAGAAACGACATTATGAAACCAAGCGATTCGACAATCGATACATTTCTTGGGCCGCGATCCGATTTATAAGTTAAAAAATATACAGAGGAAAGTCGTCCATTATGAGATAGGATTTTAATATGAGATAGTAGGTTTTTAACGTCCAAATTCAATCGCAAATCTCTTTTCGCAACGATTACACGATCTAACGATCAATTTTCCGCTAAACGGAGATTGTCACTCCAAGGGCAATAAATTCGTGGTGGAACCAACAGATGACGCGTATTAATTTTACGAAACTCCGCTATCTCATATTAAGAGCCTGTCTCATAATAGGGGACTTTCCTCTATATTCTTTATTACACAAGTTGCAATAAAGGCTAAACGGCCGTGTTTTGCGCAGTGCCGGGTGGTACCGATGGGGATTAAAATACTTCAACTGTCCTTCTCCCGCGGACTCGTTTCGATTAAATAATTATCCCGGCGGAGCTCTCGTTTTGCTTCCGGTTAGAAAAGAAGATTGCTCGGATAAAAGATTAAGTCGTTTTCCCAACCGGCCGTTAAATCGCCGCTAATCGCTGTTTCCAGCACACTGACGTCTGACCGACCGACCTTTTCTGTTTCAGGCCAAGTTGTTGGAGTCGTCCCACGCTTGGCTCGGTGCCTCCACCTCCAGTATAGCAGGTGAGTCCCGCTTTCGTTTTTCTCCTCTTCGTCTCGTTTCGATACGTTTCAGGAGATAATCGCCCTCTCGACACGGCCCCCCGGCCGGACGTAACGTGGAAGCCTTCCACGTTAGGCAAACGCACACACGCAAAACAACGTCTGGTCACCTATCTCTATGCACAGGGTGTCCCCGTACTTTCTTTCAGCGATAGATTTGCCGAGATGAAAATTTTTATCGCGAAGAAACGAAATCGTAATTACCATTTTCCGGGATGTCGTCTGAAAATTGTTCAGCTCGAGTATCAAAGAAAGCCGACGGGGTTTCACCGGGGAAACGCGACGGACAAGCCAAGTCACGAAATGCGCAACTCGCGATATCGCTTTCCTCTTACCATTACTGCCGCACATACTTTTCTCTATGTCTAGTTTTACAATCGCTTACGCGGCGCCTATCGTTAAAGGGAAGTACGATTGGCCGAAGACACCCCGTATAGTCTGTTTCGCGACACGTTTTAAAAAGACTTGACATTTCTCTCCTGCAATATCTGTCGCATCATCCGCCCGCTTATACCTGTCGCACGAATCCCGACGATCGGTTTCCGTAGTAAGTAGCGGCGCAACGACCGATCATCCCTCCCGAGTTCGAGTGGAGATTCCCTACCCTCTCTCGAGCATCCCTCCCGTGGGACCGTCGTCCGATCAGCCTCGCTCCATTTTCAAGTTCACGGTCACGTTGCTCATCCGGTCGAATCATCAGCCACGTACGTGACGAGCCTCGTCCTAGAAACGACGGGCTCGTCGCCCGTTCGTGCTCTCGACCTCCGGTCTTCGGGGATGGGAAACATCTGTCGCTATTCGTAGATCGATATCTCGTTGCTGCTCGCCCTCACTCCCTTTCTAAATGTTCCTCGCACGGACGATAAGGTTCCCGGAAGCACGGCCGTCGTCGTCGACGACGTCGTTGACGATCACGGAAGGTGGCAACACGAGAGAGCGAGGTCGCGAATGCCGGAGCCGAAGGTGGTGGCCGAACGGCAATAAACGATAGAGGGTTGGAACGTGAGCGCGGGCCCGGCAATAATAAAGCGCGGGAATGCGTTTTGCTTTAATATAGAAAGCAATTTAGATAGACGATTGGATGGTGGACGCCGGTTAATAGCGGCGATAACGCGCCCGCGATTCGCGAGCGAGAGAGGTTCGACGCGTAGCTCTCGCGCGCCATCGAGCGCGCGACTCTGCCCTTCGGATCTTTGGTCCTCCGTTTCGTAAAACCTTCGAATGCCGCACCGGAAAACAGTGGCCCCTCAACTCTTCGCCGGTACATTGTTCGCCGGCGTGTCCCGCGAGGAGTCGGGGGACACAATGGAACAACAGCAGGTGCAATTAAATATCTGCACGTTGAAATCGACGTCTATGCGCTCGAAAGGTGCATTTGTACATTCACTTTATGCATCTCGAGGTCGCAGGTAGAAATGCACGTAATTTACATTCGTGATAATTCGCGGTTTCGGTCTCGAAAGGAGAGGATAAAATATTCTTGGCGGACGCGTGCTTTCTTCTCCAATTTTTTTTCCCCACTATAATTCGCAGAAGAAATGTTCTACGGTGACCCCAACCGCTGTGCAAAGGCGTGTTAAATAATTTTCTCAGCCGTACTCTTCGTCTCCGAGCTCTGATTTGCCGCAGTACGCTCGCTCGAAACGTAAACGCGCATAAACACGCATAAACGTCGCAATATGCGTCTCGAATTGATCCCCGGTATCGTGCGTGCGTGCGTGCGTGCGTGCGTGCGTGCGTGCGTGCGAGCGTGCGTGTTTAAGCGTACGCCGAATGCGTGCGTAGGCGCGTATCCCCCTCTCGGCTCGCTTAAATCATTTTCTTCGATTACTCCTTGACTTCCCATGAGACGCGGCCGCCGCCGCCGCCGGCTGTTTGCTTCTCTTAACGATCACGCTTATTTATTCCGCGCTTTTCTCGTCCGCGACGAGAGCGTTTCTCGAAGCGAACATCGTGCCTTCACCTCTGCTCCGCGTTTGCCTCGGAGAAATTAGTAATTCAGAATCTCGGAGATTAAAGAACTCCGGCACGCGATACCATTTTCCCGTTGACAATATCGATTTCGGGCTCGCCGAGGGATTTCGTTGAGAGAAAGTGCACTGCTTCCGAGAGATGCATCCTGTATCTTAACCCTTTCGTTGCCCGCTTACATTGGCCGCGTTCAGCAGAAAAAGCTGCTTTGCAACTGTTGTAAAAATCCTGAATCTAATTGGCGTATGCTCTTAATTATGACAGAATCTAAGAGCATACTCCAGTCAAATTTACGAACTTTACAACTGTTGCAAAGCAGCCTTTTCTGTTGAACGCAGCTATTTTTTGTCTCTTTGATTCCTTGGGACGCCAATGTCCCGCTCATAGTACGCGCTATTGTCTGGCGAGGGCATGTACACGCACCGGCATAAATGCTGTCCCTATCCTTGCGAGGTGCACGCACACAACCACAGGGACTCTAGTTGTGTGCGTGTACCTCACAAGGATAGGGACAGCATTTATGCACGGAAAAAAACATTTAGCTGCTGTAGCTAAAATTTAGTAAAATATTGAGCTATCACAACTAAAAATATTAGCTGTCCATATTTTACTAATTGTAAGTTTTAGCTACAGCAGCTAAATGTTTTTTTCCGTGTGCCGGTGCGTGTACAACTGTTTAAGGTGGCTCCTGCACGAAGGAGTTAGTATGGGTGCTTTGATGGGGTCCCTTTGATTTTTATAAATCCATATGACTTTTTTCGTAAAAAGTATCACTTATGTCTATTGTTGGTGTCTAAATATTTCATTCTAAATTTATTGCGAAAAAATATCACCTCAGCCAGGGTTCGAACCTGGACCTCCCTCTCGCTGGCGGGCGTCTCGATTCGACCACCGAGGCATGTGGAAATATTCATCGCAATAAACAGTCTAAAGTTGGTTCCCGAATGCTACCTATCGTCAATATTATAATTTCCTACTTAACAATGTAAATGTAATATGACATGGGTGTTATGTTACATTTACCTTGTTGAGTAGGAAATTATAATATTGATGTTATGTAACTGTTACTTGGTGTTCACCGGAATGTTAAAAAGTACAACTTTAACATTTCTTCTTCTTTATCTCATTTCATCGGCGACCGGGTCTGAAATTTCGCGTACCGATAAAATTTACAATTACAACACACTTGTATATCAATTCTTCCTACTTTTGGTCGGTTTATGCAGGAGCCACCTTAAAACTGAAGAAACGTTGGTCGGCGCCAAAACGCTGTCTAAAAGTTTAAAAGAATTTCTCGAAGACTCAACGATTCAGCGTGCATTCTGTTGCTGAAAAGGCCACCGTAGGGACAAAAGTTTGACGGCAAAAAGTAATCCGTTCGTGAAAGGGTTAGAGTTTTTTTTAAGGAGGACCTTCATTAATTTATCGAGGGCGAAAGAGAGAGAGCGACGAGGACAAATTACGGATATGTTGATGTAAACTGAAACAATTAAGAGTTTCTCCCGACGTTACGGCCCGATAAGGCGACCCGGTGATCAGATTTAATATCTAATCCGCACGCGCCTTTTGAGGACGCGAATTGCCCAAGTGCGATTGTTCGCTTAGCCGCGATTGTCCGCCTAGCAAACGACGATTTGCCAGTCTGAGAGAAAATGCCCCCTCGCGAAACTACAGGTTGCACGTGCGCGCGCGACAAAACGCCATTGTATGATAATATTATTCAACGCGATTATTTCCAGCCCGGATTTAGCCACGACGCCATTACACGCGATACGTGACCGTTTTTTTTATCCCCTTTCTTTTTTTTTCGGTTCACTGGCGATCGTACCCGCCGGTTATGGGACGGTCGATTCGCGCGTGAAACGAAATTATTCATATTTCGATGCAATCGGATTGTTATGCTAAAAGAAAGCGACTTGCGAGTTTTTCTATTTTTTATTTTTATATATTTTTTTTCATCTTTTTTTTGCGTATATTAAGCGGTTTCGGCGATGGTGCTTGTAATATGCATTTGCATCCAGGTGGCAGATTCGCGCTCGAAACGGCAGTTAAATTAATTTACAAAAATAAAAGTCCGGCGCGCTTTTGCGAGGAATAAAATCCGACTTGCCGCGGCCTATCATTTCTCGTCACACGCGATCCCTCCCCGGACGTTAAGTCACTTCCTGCGCAATTGCGCGCGGGTTCGCGAGGGCCAGAAATCGGTGCGGCGCCCGCGACACCGCATAAATCGCACGGGCGACGTGAGTGACGTTAACTGCTGCTAACACGCGTGGGTGTGACACGCTCTGTGGACCACACGGTGGTCCCGTTCCCGCTTCTCCCTGCCTTCGTCTTTCCGTCGGCTCTTTCGCCCCGGAGTTAGTCGGCGGCGAGCCGGCTAAAGGGATAATTATAGCGCAATTATAATGATTGCGCCGATAATTACGATTAATAGCAACGTGTAAAATGATAATTAAATCGGCATCTTTTAATTTCGTGCCGATCGCGCGCTCCAAGTCGGCCGCGTAAGCCTCGCGCCGGGGTCTTCGAGAAAGACTTGAATCCCGCGTGATGCTCTTTTTAATTCGCCGCTGCCACCTCCTCGCGTTTTAATGCTGGTAAATTATTTTGATTGCTTACTCAGGACGAATGAATCTTGAGAGCCTCGTAAAATTCGTACTCGGTTTGATATATTTTTACTCGCGACTATTCTGCTACTATTTACGTTTAATTGCCACCTTCCTGGTTTCGTGCTTTCTTTTCATTAGCAAGCTGCGTTAATCACTTATGCGATGTATACGAAAGGAGAGCAGCGATATAATTTTTAATATATAATTTCCAACCTGCCCCTCCCCAATGAATAATTCCGTGCGGTCCGCAAAATACTAATACCTCGTTCAATCTCTTGTTCGCATTGTCCCCCCCGGAGCTTTTTATTTGTCGACTCTTCCGCAACTTTTCTTCTCACATTTACGACACGTTAACTACGCTTCGTTTCATTAATATTCCATTAACACCTCATTAATTTTACGCTCCACCTTGGAGGTTCCTCAGCGTATTCTCCGTGTCATCTTCATATCTTTTATTAATAATAATATTTCTTAACTTCAGCACACATGCCAAGAAGTGGACTTGGTTCACAAACAGTGCCTCAACTCACATTTGTACCCTCACACTCCCTTACAGCTATTCCGCCTAATTCCGGTAGCTCAAGTTTTTAACCGTGTACGTTTTCCGTAAACGCATTTCCTATTTTACATTCTTTTTACTTGCACTTACGTTTCCATTTCCTCGCTAACATACGGCTATCCCTACCTATGATAATAAGTATCTTTTATTATCTTGTCTTGTGCAACAAACTCTTTGCTGTGCCATCGGGTGTGTTGGCGCTAAAGACACCCAAAAATTGAGAACGTAGACTAACGCAGAAGAGAGCGAGAGTGGAAGTGTACGAGGGGCGAGATAGCCCCCGTCGAGGTGCGCGATTTTTCGTCCAGTCTTCTCTAGGTGCGGCTTTGCCCCGCGGTTCTCCACGCGAAAAATTAAAAGACGAGAGTCGAGGCCGGAGAGTCGAAAAGAAATCGCTGACTATTTTCTAGCTGACTATACGACCCTGCTGAAGCTGAAGGCGCCGACGTGGACGCGGCACGATCTCCAGGAGGCGATCGAGGCCGTGGTGACCCAGAAGATGCGCTTCACCCAGGCGTCGACCAAGTACGGCATCCCGAAGGGCACCCTCTACGACAACATCCTCGGCAAGTCCAAGAGGATGATGATCCTCGAGGAGACCGCCCTCGAGCCAGGCGAGGAGTCGGCGGTGCTCGAGTTCTGCTGCGACATCAGCGTCAGCCCGTACAATCGGCGCACGAAGAAGTCCCTGAACGCGATACTGAACTTCGTCGAGCACCTCAGGCGGAAGCACGACCCCTGCTTCGTGTTCACCGGGCTGTCGGGCTTCCGCTGGTGGTGGGCCTTTTGCAAAAAGCACTCGATAGTCTCGCTCTACATCAACGACGAGAACGAGAACGGTGCCGACTCCTCTTAGCGCCGCCGGTCCGTCGCGCGTCGAGACTGATCGCGGAGAGAGAGAGAGAGAGAGAGAGCGGCCGAATCTTATTTCTACTCTGATCCTATTTGCTGAATTGTTTCGTCGCGAGCGCAATTTCGTTCGGTAAGTCGGTAAAAATTTGCTCTCTCTCTCCGAGAGAACAGTGAACTCGATCTTTTTGACGGACGTTGATTCTCATTAAATAAGAATTGCGCGAAAATGTAATCCGAAGTGAGATTCCGCCATGTCTCTCTCTTTCTTTCTCGCTCTCTCTCTCTCTTTCTCCTTCTCTCCCGATTGTCACGACTGCGAGACTCGTCGGCCGAGAATGCGGCGGTGGTCGCCTTTGCCTCGCGGACGAGAATGAAGAAAAATGTGGAAAATTTAATGTCCCAGCGACAACGAGTTCATTCAAGCGACATTAAGGCAAAGAGAATACAGTAAGTCGGATTCGAGCGGCATGCCGTCGGACGCGTCATGCAACCTTTATTTCGCATCCCCGCTCGTGATGCGCTCGCATTCTCGGGCCGTAAAAGAAACGGTGGCGCGTTTAAAGGTGACCGGCGCGTTCTAAGAGAAGGCACTAAATTCACGACGTCGCATTCGATTGTCCCCGAGATTAAAATACGCCTTTCGAGATCGCGTCGCCGAACCAGCCCTCAAAAGGCTCTAATTATAAGGATTTAAGTAAAGAGAGAGAGAGAGAGAGAGAGAGAGAGAGAAACGCGCACAACGAAACGTCTTCCAGCATCAAACACGTTGGAACATTTTCACGATCGCTGTCCTTTTTTTCCCCTTTTTCGATCCACTTGTATGATTCCTCCGGAGCATGCGCGCGGTACCGACAATCGACGCGCAATCCGTAGACTTCAACGCGGAAAATCGCTGCACAAGCAAGGTCGCCGGAAGAATTTGCCTGCTAATTGAAAATCGAACGCCGCGTTCGCGTCGCGTGCCCGGGCAATCGCGCGAAATGATAACGCGGTAAAAATCGGGTGGGGACTTTAATCGGCAAAAAATGTCTACGTTCGATTAAATTTAATATCCATCAGAATCGATTGCATCAACGGCGATTAGCGGCGGTTATTCCCTCGCGACAATATTCCCCGATCCTTTTTCTCCCCCCCTCGATTCTCCAACGCTTCTGAAGTAATAGAATTTCCATGACATATTATACAATAAGAGGACTCACGTTAATTTATTTGCGGATAACTCGATTCGCATTGAGAACGCGCGCGCGAGAAATATTTATACTAAAAGAGACCGGGGAAATGGAACGGTAGAAACGCGTTGGGAAACGCTTTAAGCGTTTTGTGAACGTTTTCGCGATTCAGTGCGATTTAAAAGCGCGCCGTCGATTCGTCAGGGCGGTCGCGTGTTTATTTTCTTATTAGTCGCGAAATTAATTGCACACGAGAAATTCCATGGTCGGCGCCGGTTGAAAAGGCAAGCAGCGTTTCGCGGAATATCTTCGAACGTGTTCGCGCCAATTTCGGGAGCTTTCCCGCGCTCTTGCGAATGATACTCGTGAATGACTTAGCGTGTAACGAGTTTAGTGCCCTCCACTCATCTCCGTCTTCCACGTAATTTAATCGACGAACACGATGTGTAACATTCCGCCTCTTCGCGTATATACCACGCTCTGTACATACCTTCCGATACGCACAGCGTGTACAGCGATGGACCGAATGGTCGCGACACTCTTTTTTTTTTAATACGAGTTTAGGAACTCGAGAAACGGATCGGAAACGCTTCGAAATGGCCGTCGAGTAAGATGTCCCCCCGGAGAAGATTTTGAAACGTGAGGGCCTGAGCAGAATGGCTGTCGTTCTTAACCCTTTGAAGCACGGTGGTGACCCACGTTACCACCTCAGCTTCTTTACTTTTTGGCCATTTAATTTCTAGTGAACGCATCTACGTCAGGTTTTTGCATTTTTTGGGATATCTTAGCGAAATATGAGAAAACAGCAATTTTTTCGGAAAAGTTTATTATTGACCAAGTTTTTTTAAGATTATTTCTTGAACTTGGTACAAAGGGATTTTCGGGGTCGCTCGTTACGAATCTGATGTCGGATTTTCAATATTCGAAATGGCCGACCCAAAATGGCGAGTGCAAAGTACGTGACTTTTTTGAGTTTTCAAGGTTTTTCAGCATTTTCGCGTTTGATTGCGGTATTTAGGGACTCGCCACGGCCGCGTCGTTAGCTCTGGGTAGCGCCAAGAATGAGTAAATCTCAAGAAATTATCAAATTTCAATTTTGCAACTGGAATTTAGATTCCGTGGGTCCAAGTAACGTCTAAATAATGTTTCTTAGCATAGTTGAATCACAGTTGAATGATGTTCTTCTTTCAAGTTTTGAATTCCGCCATCTTGAATCCGCCACTTTGAATTATGTAAATCTGATAACGAATTCGTAATCAGCGACCCCAAAAAACCCTTGTATACAAAGTTTCACGAAAAAATGGTTCAATAGAAAAATGTATGCCTCAAAGGGTTAAGTCACAAGACAGTTATTGTGCGTTACTTTAAGACAAAGGCTTGAAACACAAAACGTCGTCTTAAGAGTACAAGACAGCCATTCAGCTCAGGCCCTAACCCTCAATCCAACTGCACGTTCCTAAACTTATTAAGAAGAAAGTGTCGCGGCCATTCTGTCCGTCACTGTACGGCTCGGATCGACGGGACCAAATTGTCACCGAGATCGTTGCTGACGCTCAACGCTGATGCTACGGGGAGAATTTTCTCTTCAAATTTCAGGCGAGTTATTAGGGTAAGATATATGGTAAAATTTCGAAAAACTCATAAAGTTCTTCGAAATGCCGATTTCAGGCGAAATTTCAATAGGAAATTCTTCCCGCGTGTATTGCCGTAACTAGATATTTTTCTACGAGTTTTACCAGTAGCGAGAGACATTGTTTAAGTTATTTGCGTTGCCATGTTGCGCGCGTCGGACTCAATTCGTCTGTTTGCCGGCGACAATAATTGCGAGATAATTATCTCTAGTATATTAGAATGGCGAGGAGAAAGGCGTTCTCTGTAGGAAAGTACGCGCGTATCTGTTAACATTCCAAGTCTAATCGCATTTATGAAACGAGCGCGTATCCGCTCCTCGTTGCGGCGAGGCATTGTTCGAAGCCGGGGAAGATCGGGGAGACGATCTGCGATGAGCAAAATGGACGAAGGAAGTGTGCCGCCCGCTCGAATAGTAAAGCCGGTCTAGCTGCGCGAGAAACGTTCGGTCAACCCGACAAAAAGGTTTCGCGGAGCGCGCGGACGCGATATATCGTGAAATTGAAATATTCGCGCCGGCCGCGCACGCAGCTTACTTAACGGCAATGCAAATAGAGTGCGGACGTAATGCGCGAGGGAACAACGGCTCGGATAAACGTAACGAAAGTGGAGCAGAGCGGCGGACCGTGCAAAAGAGAGCCGCATCTAAATATATATCGGCCCCTGAATTCGCCGACACGCGACTCGAGCGCTAAATGAAAACGTACGGGAGATCGTTATTCGGCCCGGCGTGATGCATAAAAGTCGCGCTCGTATAAAAATGACTGGCGCGAACAATAACGCATACGCGATCCGCGGATTAAAACTCGGAATCAATTTACCCCCCCCCCCCTAGCCGGCGGGCTCCGGAATGCCCGCCATCCCGATATAGCGGGGACCGAACTCCGCGCGAGCCGCTCGAAATAGTTGAGCGCGCTGTAACTTCAGGGGGCATATCTTCCTCGTGCGTTTAGCTCTCCCGTCTTTCCTTTTCTTTTCTCTCTTACCGCGGCGGAGAAATCTCGTTCCGCGACGCTTAATACTTGACGGCCAGGAGTGTTATTAGATTACCTCCGCCGCCAGCGCGGAGCGTGTCGCGGGACTGGGCACGACACTTTTGTCGGCGTCGGCGTGCTCGCGTTTCCGCGGCGGGGGCGGCGCGGAGGGGCAAAAACGACTCAATTACGCGCACGTGGAACTGGACGCGGACGTTAACGGGGGTAACGCTTTAGACGGCTGGCTTTTTGCGGCAATTATTGGCTGCGTCGTATCGCCGCGCATCGCCGGGCAACGCGAGCGGCTAATATCCGGCGATTATCGGTCAACACGCGGCGATTAACATCGAGGGAGAGAGAGAGAGAGAGAGAAAAAAAGGCGCGATTGTTCCCGACGCCCGAGACGTCCGCCGAGTCCGCGGGTTTCGCGGTGAAACCCGCCGGAAAAGTGCGGCTCGCGAAACGGCCCGGTATTATCGTCGCCCTATGACAACGCGACGTGGATCGAGGTCGCCTCTACCGTCCTCGCGCACCTTCCGCGAGGGGGAAAGCGGGGGGGGAGGGGGGGAGACTCGCGTTATCGTTCACGGGCTCGGTGGAAACGCCTTCCGACGACGCGCTGGCGTGCTTCCCCGCGTCACATTATCGCCGATCGCCGCCCCCCGTTCCCCGCGGGGGACCCGGCGGTTGGCGTATTTACGAGCGGCGCGTTAATTGAATCCCGGCGAGAACGACGTAACACTATACCCGGTGTTATCGCTCGTCCGCTAAAAGTGCGCGACACGCCGAGTGGCGCGGCGCGGCGCGCCTGGGGGCGCGAGAGGTGAGAAAATTAAGTGTGAATGAGCGGCATTAAAATAGGCGTGCGCGACATTCCCCGATAGAGTATCGGAAGCGGAGCGAGGGCGATATCGCGGCCGTAAATCGGCCGCGTTACGACCGGTGCTACCGCCTCCGGAGATAATCGCGCCGCGAGAGCGAGAGCGCGCGCGCCGCGGTCCCGCGGCGAGGACGGGATTCCTCTGCGGCGCATCGATAAGACGTTCCGGGCCGGACCGCGAGCAGCGACACGTTGCGTAACGTCGTTGAGCGCGTCGCGCCACGTGCGTCCCGGTATGGAAAGATCGTCGGTCGGAGCGAGGAGAGCCCGTAGACTTGTATACTAGACTGCGCCATCCGTCGGAGACGTCGGTCGTAAGATGTGGAAAGAGAGGGAGAGCCGAAGCGAGTCAATGCGTCTGACCTGCTCGTTTTCTCCTCGCTCTTAATGCTGAGCGAGAGAGACGGAGAGAGAGAGAGAGAGAGCGAGCATGACTCACTTGATAGGTCTGCAGTCTAATGTTTAGGACAGCGCGTCCATGGGGATGCGGCAGTGTAGCATATAAGTCTATGGGAGAGCCGCGCGACCACGTCTGCGTCGCTCTCGAGCGACGAGAGGGAGATGTACTTAGTGCCTTCTTAGATAAAAGATAACGTAAGCGAAATTAATCGCGCGACGACCGGGTTTCCGCGATTCGCGTTCGCGTCGCGGCCTGACCCAAATAAGAATTCAATAATTAAACGCGGCCCAGATCCGCGGCTCGAGACGTCGGGCATTGTCGCTCGTCGGAACGTTAGAGCGCGAAACGGGGAATTTTCGCGTCGGATGATGCCGCGAGAGTCTAAGAATAGCCCGGGCCGGCCGGGCGCGCGCCTTTTCCAATGAATTGTATTAATCGTCAAATTGATCAGGAGGCTTAATTAGAGCCAATAACTTAACTATCAAATAATTGTCGCGAATTGAGGCCGGCCATACGTGCCATACGCGAGCGGCGGAAGTCGCTGCGATACGCCGCCGCGCCGGACGTTTTCTTTCACCTCGCTCAGGTCCGCCGCTCCTTTCGCGTCAGAAATTTCTCCGGTCGATGCAGATTTTCTTATTCGATAAATTTTTCCGCACGCGACGCTGGAAAATACTCCGCTACGTCAAGGAGACTCTTAATGCGTTATAATAGTATGTGATATGTAGTCGGCGGTGCGCCAAGTGACGTGTACTCTTTATTGCGAGGCTTCCGATCGGATATGGCGATATTATAATAAAGCAATTATAAATGAATTTACGACGTTACTCGTGCTGTTACGTTTTCGCGTTACGTCGCAACAACGTCGGACGCAAAATGCCTGACGTTCGAATAGAATGCGTTACGGGCAGTGCTCCATATGTTGTATTTTGTTGACGAAAGAAAGAGCAATAAGGGATTCGAGTTATTTCAAGTATAAACAAATTTTCTGATAAGCAGCGATGCAGGGACGCGCGCTCCGAAACGGCCCCGCGAGGCCGTCCGAGGTCGCGTTTCACGACGCGTCCTGATTTCTTCAAGACGCGCCCTAAGGTACATTCCGTTACTTGCGTAGAATCCCCTTCCCTCCGTGACGCAATAATTATTCGTTCGTGTTTGTAGTTAATGTAAGAGAAGGTTTAGTATTAAGTAGCGTTAATGCAACGCATGCGTTAGTCGCGACGTGCCTTTTCCGTTTAACGACGACTCCTGTAATGCTTTGTAACGATTGTTGCGGCAAACGGCAATACAATCGATATTTGGGTTTCACCCAGAAAGACGTGAATCCTTTAGATTTACTTTGCCACGATCTATTCATGAACACACCCACACACACGAAGCACAGTACATACCTGTCTTTCTTAAGCGCCGTTTTCTAGGTGGCTCCGCCCACGTTGAAGGTATAAACGGTAGATGCACCTGCGTGCATCGAGACGAGCGAGTATCGATTCGGCGTGAAAATTGCACATTGCGGAATCGTTAACGCGACGACGATTCGTCCTACCCGCTCGGCCCCCTCCGCGCTTCGATCCCGATCGCGAATCGAGGGCTCTCGCGAGAGTTCGCCCGCCGACGAGCACGCGTTAGGCGAACGAGCGTGATGGACGATCGATTAATAAAAAAATCATGCAATAACGAGGACATTTATTCACCCTGAATCCTGCCTTAACCCCTTTGTCCCTCTCCGGCCCCCGCACACCCCACTTCAACTGGTCGATCGCCCCGACTAATAGCTGCTTTTCTGTGTTTTCTCTTTTCCACGGGGGGCGTTTACTAGCAGACAGCTACCAGTACCAGCTGCAGTCCATGTGGCAGAAGTGCTGGAACACCAACCAGAGCCTGGTGCACAATCTGCGCTTCCGGGAACGTGGACCCCTCAAGTCCTGGCGGCCGGAGACCATGGCGGAGGCGATCTTCAGCGTGCTGAAGGAAGGACTCTCCCTCAGCCAAGCGGCAAGGTGCGTTCTCGGCAGCTATTACTTTCTTACTTTCCCGTTTGATTTTTCAATACTCGAATGCATCAAATCATTACCGTCTCTTTAAATGTATCAGAAGATTGTACCACGGTGTATTATCCTTACGTGATCTCGTTAGCTGCTGGAGCGCGATAAAAAATTGACTCGGAAGGGGGGAATCGCGTGTTAAAAAATACTACGGTAAAAATAAATGTAACATATATTATGATGTTATATCCTTGCGCAATTTCATTAATTGCTGGTACGTGATAAGAAATTTATTCGGGAAGGAGAACCGCGCGTTAAAAAATACCACGGTAAAAATAAATGCTCGCGTTACGGGGCCGTCTATCGCGTGTAATATTAATATTAATCGATACAACATATTAATCTTAAAAGTGATGCAGCGTTTCCAGCGCGTTTCGTAGAAATTATTTATCTCATTTAATTGCACTTTTTCGCTATATTACGCGCGATGTATTAATACATCGGCCGATATAAAACGCGCTAATTTAAAAAATATATCGAGATGTCTCCGCTGTGTATTGCAAAAATAATTAATTTACTCGCAATCATTTTCCGTGTACGGCGGGCGGCGCCGTGCGTCCGCGGAACCAATAATAAAATTAATAATATACTCCCCGCGCGGCTGCATAAAACTTCGGTGGCGCGACATTTAATATTAACGCCTCAGTGATGAAATGCGTTAATATAAAAATTAAAGAATTATTTCAATTGCTTATTCCAAGAGTCCGCCCCGCGCGGCAGCCGGTTCTTGCGGCGTTAATAAGTGATGGGCGAAAGATAAATATTTTATGCGAGTTTATGCCGCGCCGTTGTTTCCTCCGCGCGCCAACTCACGCAATGTACCGGGTAAATAGTTAAAATTGTTATATAAATGTCTTATGATGCGGCGCGTACAATAGAGCCGGGTTATTACGCAATGAAAAATTCCTGGAAATTATTCCGCATCAGGCATACCTTATCGCCGGCCCTGAATCATGCTAAATAATCGTCCGACCTGCTGCTCAAAGCGGCTGCTTTAAAAATCATTTGCGCGTGGACGTCGTAAAGCCTGTATCACGTTTGCGTAACAACGTCGACTCGCCGTTAAAGGGATTTCTTTTAATTCGCGTACAAAGCGACTCAATAAAGCGCGACTTTACGAGCCGCGAGCGATAATTTTTACGATAATCGATTCCGACGATCGATAATGCTCCCCTGACGCTTCCCGCCGCGAGTCTGTGTGCCGTTTCGAAAATTTCCGGCGCCCCCCCACCCCCTTTTTTTAATCGCCTTCAATTTCGTTAACGTTTTTCAGCTCGCGCGAGCGAACGGGACAACGAAATGTAACGGTAATCGCATAGGGGGGGGGGGGGCACGCAAGACGAGCGATTCTCGCGTCGCTCCTCGCGAGAAGCCTCCGCGTTACTTCGTTAAACGCGCAACGTCATCGCCCGTACTCCCCACGCGATTGCATAATTTCGAGAGATTGCATAATTTCCATCGTCATGCATTCAAATATGTCCCGCTGAATCTTTCATACTCCGTCGGTATAATAAAATTAATATAAATTAAAGTGAAACGCGTAATGAAATGGGATAAACATAAAATAGCATTAAAATACGAACAAAGCTGGGACGGAATAGCTCAAGTTAATTAAGAGACGCTACGCGGCGCGGATGTAAGATACGCGGCGGGGCGAGCAGAGCTATAAATTATGTTGATTATAATTATAAGCCACAAATCATAATTGTATCCCGCTTCCACCTTTCAGGAAATACGATATCCCCTACCCGACGTTCGTCCTGTACGCGAACCGAGTGCACAACATGCTGGGTCCTAGCGCCGACGGCGGGGCCGGTGAGTGTTAGTTGCCATTTTCAGTGTCTGAAAACCGCCCCCGCTCCTCGATCGACAAATGCGTTTCCGGATGACGAGGGCGAGCTCGATGCCGACGGCCGGGGCCGCGACGCGGCGGATATTAGAGGAGAGTCCCCCTATTATGGGATAGACCTAATACGAGATAGCGCAGTTTCTGCTAAAATTAATGGGCGCCAAGAATTTTACGCGGCGAGCGTCTAACGAAGAAGCGGGAAATCGCTGAAATGGTTTTTCTATTTAAAAAGACTTGACAATTAAATTGATAGCACAATTAATTTACACACCGACACCGGAAATTTAAATGTAACGCATGACAGTGTAATCAAATCTACGTAGGTTGTAATCATCCGGTTTGTTGTTTTATGACAAATACTGCAAATCAGTTCGAATCGAACCTCGGTAATGTCCGGATTTGCGCTTATTTTTATCCTTCGACTCTATTTCACGGATGACTGACTTGCTCGTCTATGAATTTTTTCTTGCTTTCTTGTATCGTCACTTGAAAAAGACCCGAGGTAAGGTCGGAACGTAACGAATTCAATAAAACTTGCCAGTTGGGTTGACAATAAGCTCACCGTTTTAACTTTTAATCATCACTGGCGACTCTAAGTGACATTTTTCTTTCGTAAATGAATGGGCATATCATCCGTTGGTCCCGCCATGAATTTATTGCCCTCGGTGTGAAGTCCATTCGGCGTGAAAAATGATTGTTGGTTCGCGTAATCGTTGCGAAAGGAGATTTGCGATTGAATTTGGACGTTGAAAACCTGCTGCCTCATATTAGAATCCTATCTCATAGCGGAGGGCTCTATTGTAACGCCGGAAATGCCGAGAGCCGGGCGCGTCGTAAAGAGGACGGGTGAAAAATTTTTCAGGTAGACTTTGCGGCTCGGAAAATAAAATTGCGTGACGGAAAATTTATGTCTCGAGATATAAAAAAAAAGCCGTGCACGTTTCATCCCTTCGTTATTTACACCGCGTGGGCTCGAGGCCGCGATATGGAAACGAGCCTGAAATTCCGCACGTTAAGCGTTGAGCAACCTGGCCTTTGAAACGTTCTCCTTAAGGCCTGGGGTCCATCGCGCGAGGAACTCGCGTAATGGGCCGCGACGGCGTGGCCAATTGTAAATAGTTGATAAACGGCATTGGATCGGGAGGAGAATAAGTCTGAAAAGTCAGTCACGCCCGTAAAAGCCGCAATTACATCGCGCAATTATGACCGGATCTAATACCTAATGGTAACGCTTAGTTACGCGCCATTAGCGTGTAACATCCTGCAAACACCGACCGAGCGTGTCGTCGAAACATCCTTTACTAATTAGTTAATGAACAGACGATTGGAAAAAAAGTTTTCTTATCGATTAACGTCCGAGCCCGCGTCTCTATTTAGCGGCAGCGGAGGGGAGGGAGGGGGATTCCGTTCGCCGATAAAGTCCAGCGATTCTTCTTCGCGCGTCGCGTGAGGATCTCGCCCTCGTTCTTTCCCTGAATCCGTTTGTTAATTCCGCGTCGAGAGAGAGAGAATTCTTGAGAAAACACGAGCCTCGTCCACGGGGAAGACGAGTAGCGGCGGGCCGGCCATTGCGACTCGCGCACGATCGCAGAACCGATTTACAGCGAAATGAATTTCTTCTTCCTCGTTCCCCCCTTTCTCCGCCCCCTTCCTTCCCTTTCGTCTGTAGATCTGCGCCCGAAGGGACGAGGACGACCGCAGAGGATCCTGCTGGGTGTCTGGCCCGACGAGCATATCCGCGGGGTGATTCGAGCAGTGGTATTCCGCGACGGACACTCGCCCCACATCGTCAAGGAGGAGCCGACCACGATGTACCCCAGCCTGGCGAACTACACGGCCTGCAACGGCCCGGAAGGCGCGGTCAGTCCGAACGCGGCAACCGTAGCTGCGGTCGCGGCGGTCGCTCAAGGTAACCGGCAACGCCAGACAATTCCTCGCTTCTCTCTTCTTCTCGTCTCCGTCCTTTTCCGGGACCGGCGATTGGCGCTCTACTTGCGGGACCTAGGGACAATACGAAGTTATTTTCAGTGGTGCAAAACAAGCGCTAAATAATGCGACGCGGGTCACGTTCAATTTTACTGATTGCGCCCTGCTAGCTTCGCGTTAAGCAATTTTTTTTTTCCTAAATAGCGTGGAACACGGAATTTTTTTGATGGTACAAATCAGTGCAAAAGGTCCGATTTAATTTTGCCGATTTGTTCTGCTGGCTTTTCGTGTCAGCAACGTCACCATTTTTTCTCAAATGGTACGAGGTACACGATGACTTCCGGTGGTACAGAACAGCGGTACGAAATAAGTATCGCGTCCACTAGGTCGCATTTGATTTCGCTGACTTGGTCTTGCTAGTTCAAGAAAGCTATAGCGGTTTGTTTCGTGACTAAAGAAAGGGGCGGGAATTTTTTTTCACATAATCGTAAAAATATTAATGAAAAAGCCTATAGTTCTTAGTTCAAAAGAAATTCTGTGCTGTTTACATTTAACAGCTCTCTTAAAGCGTATCACGAGGGGTAAACCGCTGATTAAATCATGTACACCACTGCCTACTAATGTGGGCGTTAATCTTGTTATCTTCTTGTCTTATTTATCTTGTTTTATATTACAAAGAAAATTCGTAAGGCTCTGACGTGAAATCACAAAACAAGGTAATAAAGGACGCAAGAGCCAAGACAGGGTTGTTAGTGTCTAAATAATTTTAATTTGTAAGAGACACACCCGCCTAGTGAGAGGAAGGTCCAGGTTCAAACCCTGGCTGAGGTAAATTTTTCGCAATAAACTTAAAAATTAAAATTATTTAGACATTAACATCCTGGCTCTTGTGTCCTTTATTACTTCGTATTTGTTTTATATTAATCAAGCTTTCTTAGTCGACATTAACCGGCCAGTGTTTTTAATACAGAGAATTTATTGCGAAAAATATTACTTCAGCCAGGGTTTGAACCTGGACTTCCCCTCTCTAGGCGGGCGTCTCACTAATTCGACCACTGAGGCATGTGGCGAGACGCCCGCCTAGAGAGAAGGGAAGTCCAGGTTCAAACCCTGGCCGAGGTAATATTTTTCGCAATAAATTTTCTGTGTTAAAAACACCGGCCAGTTGATGTCGACTAAAAGGCTTGGTCGTTGTTATCTATCACTGGCAACTTAAAGAGATTTCTACGTTTGTTTTATTTTATCTTTACAATGCCGCATATCTGTACACCACAGTGCCCTCAGCGGTTTACCCGTCGGCGTATCGGCAACTTTGAAGAAGCATTGGCACCCTATCCTAATTAGCTCGAAACTCTGAAATACGTGGTTTCTTTTGCGTCAGAGATCGCTGGCTTAATTATTCGATCAAGATTTCGGTCTGTCTACATTTTCCGACGTTCCGCAGGTCTGCGACACCAGATGTGCAACATGGTGGCAGCGGCGCACTCGCAGCAGCACGACATGATGGCGACGAACCTGTCGACGAACCTGTCCACCAGCCTGGCGTCGAATCTGCAGGCGGCGATGCAGGCCAGCCAGCATCATAACAACAACAACACGAGCAGCAACGCGAGCGGCGGCGGCGGCGGCCTCGGCAGTAGCAACAGCGCCGGCAACAACAACGGCAACTCCCCGTTGAATCTCGGCCTGGCGAGTCCAGGCTCGGGCGGGCCGCCCGAGAGCCCGTTGGAGAGTCCCCTGGCGAGCCCGCTGGGCCCGCTGATGGACCCGGCGGGCCACATACCCAGCAGCGTGGAGGTCGGCATCGGCGTGAGCGGCATGACATACAAGCCGGCGCGGAGCTTCGTCAGTCCGCGCCCGGAGAATCTCTTCCAGGAGGATATCGCCGATCTGGTGAAGAGCCCCCACGGTCTCAAGGACAAGGACAAGATCCCGGTGAAGCTCGAGCCGCTCACGGACTCGCGCTGCGAATAGTAAGCCATCCCGGTGGCCGCGAGACGAGGAGGAGAGACGACGACGTCAGCCGCAGTGCAGGATCGTCGGCCGTGGAAGGACGTGGCGCGTCGATGACCCCGAGGAGGATCTCTCTCTCTTCGAGGCCGTCAGCGGCCGAGGGCCGGTGATGCGGACCGGTAGGCTTCTCGCGAAGAATCGAGCTCTGTCTCATTCACTTGACCTCCTCGCGGGAGTTTATAGTATATATAAACGCATACGCGACTCCGAACGTTATACGCGAGCGCGATGTATTGTGCATACGAATATCTTAGAGGGATGTTAGAGAGAAAGAGAGGCTTACAATCAAAAGAAAAGAAAAACTGACGGAGACACATACAGAGTGCGGACGAGATAAGCGAGTGTCGAGAGTTTCTCGCCTGGCGCAGCTTCGGGAAGAAACGATCGAACGGTAGTGGCCCCGTCCTGTACGAGGATCGGCCTGCTCGATCCTACGACAGCGGGGTACAAGCAGAGACGCAGGGGAGGAGAGCGAGAGAGAGTAAAACCTTCTTTTAGCAAACATACTATAGCTATTGGGTCGCCGGCGCCTCGCAAGCGCGCCGCCACCTTTTTCCAATCTAGATAGTCGTGTCATCGTCGTGTCGTACAGACTATGTACATGTAATAAAGGTAAAACCCACACACGCGCACACGTATGGACATACACACACAAAACACACACACACACACACACACTCACCCACTCACACACGCGCATACACACACATAGACAGACACACGAGCGCGCCGTACATACAAGATACACACTCGAAATTTATACCTATGCATTATACGATAACTGTACTTTTAATGCCAAATGTATAATAACTCGTAAGGGGTCGCCTACTGCCGAATGATTGATTATTCGAGACGGATATCGACGAGAAAGTAAGCCGCCTCGAACAGAGTAGCACATTGTACTATCGAGTCCTTACACAACGTGTCATGGATTAGTTTGTGATACGCCCTAATTTTTAGGAGTCGCGAAAGATTTGAAAATTATTCTAGGATTACAAGAGTAAGGTTTCTCTTAGTAGCGGTATACGCATATACATATATGTAATGAAAGTAATAAATTACAGAGCTCGCGAACTCTCATTTTCTATTTCTGTAAATTATTCCAAGAACGTAAATCTTTGGCTTTTAGACAAAATAGAGATCTGGTTTTGAGTTGCTTATATAAGCCTACTGATAGAGATACCTTTCTTTTTCTACGCGTATATCGAATTACGGCTTAAAGATAAGTCTCGCGCTTTTGTCTATGAATCTCTTCGAAACGGAAAATCTCAATTTTATCCGCGACGCTTTGTGCAAGAAATACCATCCTTTTGACGCCAGGCAGTAAGCGACGTCACCGATCTAAGCTCGATAAGTAAGGGAGATGTACAAAATTCACTATGATTGTCTACCAAGCAAGCAAACGAGCAAAAAAAAAATTAAAGAGCGAACGAGAGAGCGAAAGAGGGAAAAAGGTACGACAAAGTATTTAGAGACGGAGAAAACAAATTCAACGGCTTATAAAGCGAGCACACTCTAGGCCGAGATGATCGCTATAAAGTTATTAAGTATAATGATTGCCTTCCTGCCATATTTGGGGTATGCCAAGTATAAAAATTATAAGGTTTAGGGATTAGGGACGAGAAACTGTGGCTCGACACGACAGACCGTGTCGAAATTTCGGCGAGTTCGGCGACCACGAGTGTCTGCATCGATGCGAGATTGCGAGCCTGAATATACGAGTCTGCGTGAGTGCGTGAACGCGGGTGCGAACGGACGAGTACGAACGGAGGTGCGAATGTGGTTGGCTTTAGGTGAGAAAAAAAAATACTCGTATACGTGTTCTTCTTTCGAAAGATCGTGCTATTTTTCAAAATTTTACACACGTCGCGCGTGATTCCGCGAAGGGATCTCGAGTCCTCGACAATCGATGAACGAGCCGTGCCGACCCGTTAAAGTGACGAGGTATATTAATACCGCGCAAGATCAGAGCGGAGTTATGCATTAAGTTTAATTTATTGAAGCTTGTAACTAATCACCTTTGCTAAATTCAGAACGATCCGTAGAGTTTTAGACTTGATTACCGCAAAAGTAATCGCTCTTCGACGATACTGATATCAAGATCCTCCATTTGACCACTGTCGCTAATAAGCAGGCGAATTTTATGATAATGTCGAGCAAATAGTGCAAAATTGTACACGATTAGAATTGATTAGACCCTGTAATCGATCGTCTACGATAAATTCGATCCGCTTTAGATTTGATTATCGCCAAGTACTTAACTTTTTGATGATGTTAATCTGAAGACCCTCGCTTGATCATTTATATCTTTGATCGGCTATAAACGGATCGTAATTTTTCAAATAGCTTAATCTTGGGTGTATCTTTATCGCGAAGACGGAATTTTCTGGAAATTCTAACATCGGCACGCTGGTTCGGGAGAGAGAAAGAGGAAGAGTGTGAGAGAATGCCAGTGAGAATGAGAGAAAGAGACTCCTTGTAAGTGTAAAAAGTAAACAAAAAAAATTCGAAGTGGCCTTCGGTGAAAGGGAAAGATCATCGCTTTTCGCTTTTGCTCGTACGAGGCTTTTGGCGAAACGAGCCATCCGTGTTATCCGTTTGTCTGGAAACTTTACGGAAGAGAGGGTAAAAAAATCGCAGGAAGAAAAAAAAATTCATTCTCGCGCCACGCTCATGCAGCCAGAATATTTCCGGTGAAGAGGGGAGGGGGGGAAGGGATGAGAGGGGTAGGAACAAGGATTGCGCGATCGTAACACGTATCTGAGGGGCGACTAATTGTAAGAGACAAAACATCAGGCAAGTCAAAAATAAAGGGGGGGAAAAGTAACACGTTATTCTTGATACAAACGACTTTTGTGCGAAAACGCGACGGTGTCGCGAGGCGACACGAACGGCGATTTATTATTAGTATACGCGTTGCGAGACTTCAATCGACCACCGTTTTTCATTTCGGCGAGAAATTCGGAAAGCGCGAATTCTATTTACCATTTAGGCATTAATGTGTTCAAACGTAAATTCGCGCGAGATGTGCGACGGCAAAAAAACGAGAGAGGAGAAAAAAGTGGGGTTGCGCGGACGGGGAGCCGAAATTTAGTGGAGAAGCGCAAGCCGAATCGCGAAAAATCCAAGTGCAGGAGGAAGAGAGAGCGAGAGAGTGAGCAAGAGAGAGAGAGAGAGAGAGAAAAGCGAGAAAAAGGGAGAATACACGAGGTCGCGAGAGCGTGGGGAAGAGAGAGAGAGAGAGAAAGAGAGAGAGCGAATGCGGAAGAGTTTAAAATTAAATATTGTATAAAAAGAAAAAAAGTAGTAAGTGCCTTCCAAAAAAAAATTTAAGTGTCCCGTAGACCGTGACCACTTGACTAAGCGACGAGAAAAGTCATTCGAAATTCTGCTGAATGCATTACTCGTGTGATTATGTTTGTAGATACGTTGCGTAAGCTCGACACATCGCTTTTTTTTTAGTTGACGCCTCGTTTTCCCCGCGGCGCTCGTCGATCTAGATTGATTGTAAAATCAAGTCTAAATCGAGTAATAAACTCGATTAAAACAAACAGTAAAAAAAATAGATAATTTCGACAAGGAGACCTATTTTACATTTCTGTAAGCGTACTTTTTGTGTTTTGATTTTCTTGAGAGACTTTTATTTTGTTTCTAGCTCGACACAACCCCCTTTTTTTAGTTGACGCTTCATTGTCTCCGCGGCGCTCGTCGATCTAGATTGATTTTATACTCGATTTAAAATAATAAGTGAAAAAATTGATAATTTCGGCAAGGAGACCTTTTCACCATTTCTGCAATCTTACTTCTGTAAGCGTACTTTTTGTGTTTTTATTTTCTTGAGAGACTGTTATTTTATTTCTAATTACAAGCTGTAAACGCGCGAAGCGTCCCACTCTTCGGATTTCATGTAATCCCCAAATCCAGATCGATTCGATCGAATTCGATGATCGATATAAATTTGTAGTGGCAGCATTTTTCAATGCAAAATTTTTCGACCGTTCCTGAACTGTTCGCGAAGAGAAAAATCCCCCTTTCGAGATTTTTATCTATTTGCAAAACAAAAAACGTGCTTGCGCAATGAGCGAGATATTCAGTTAACCGACGAGAACCCTCTTCTGTATGTCGAATACGCAATGTATCTACGAACTCTGTGTGTGCGTGTCAGAGTGAATGTCCGAAGCAACAAACTACCCGACAAAATTTGTGTTTTGGATCAATCCACACAGGTAATACCCTGAATGGCATATTCTCGAAATGTTTTCCTTTTTAGTTTCCCGGCAATGCAAATAAAGTCGACGCATTTTAGGTAGGAGGGAAAGAGCATAGGGGGGGGAAAATGAAAGCGGAACAGCTGACCGACAGAACGGAGAACGGCTATTTCGAGAGGACCCTTTCGTTTCCACATTTTGATATATACATATATGTATCTGTGAACAGATGGTGAAAAAAAAAGAATATACCTATATTACATACCTAAGACGTAAGTGAACAAAAAAGTATCTAATACGCTATTATTGATATAGAACACAAAGTGAATATATATATGAGAAAAAAGTATATTATATATATATAAATATATATATAAAAAATTGATATATTGACGCTGTAGGATTATACTGAGGCTGAGTGCGTTTATTGCGAAAGAGAGAAAGAGCGAGAGAGCGCGAGCGAGAGAGAAATAAAGATAGAGGCCGCGGTTCTTTTTTTCCGAACGTCGTCGAGGACGAAACAAAAGTTCACGGGAGTTTTGCGCTAGGCGAACTAAAGGCTGAAGGCTTTAGAATCGAGAAGATAAAGTATAGCTCGTAGGATTTTTTTATCGGGCCGACACACACAAAAGGACGGACGTGCGTGACTCTGGCGCTACCTTAGTGAGAGCCAATTTTATTTCAGCTCGCGGATGCGTGTCCCGTTTATCGATAGACGCACTGACTGATCTCGGCGTTTTTCCCTTCTTCCTCCGAGACGAAATCGAGTCGGGAACAACGCGTTAAACTGTCGAAAGTTGTAGCACATGTTTGTAAGCTGAAAAAAGAAATTCGGAACTGCTTAGCTTTAATAAAACGATTGGAGAGAATCGAATCTTTTTGAGAAAATTAAAAATCTCGAAAGTCACGAGAGAGAGAGAAAGAGAGAGAAAGAGAGTGCGACCGTCGATACGCGAGGCGGGTAATCCGCGAGTTTCAGATCACACGCATGGAGAAACCGATCGGCGAGGGCTTTCGTTCCACGCACGTGTGAAATCTTTCCTTTGATCGTCGTTATTGCCGCGGTATTGAGTGGTGAGAGAAAAAAAAGTCTGCGAGAAAAAGAGAGCGAGTTGCACAGCGAACAGCGACAGCCGACTATAAACAGAACATAAGTAGTCTCCGTACACACGATTTACGACTAGTTTACAGGACGCGCGGCCGACGACGGCGCTCTTCCCCGAGCCGAGGGTTCCGGGGCTGGCCGCGATCGCGCCGAATCCGTCTCCGTGCGAGTGCGAGACGGGGACGGTACGATCGCACGAAGCTCGGATTCCGCCGCGTCGCCGACGGGCCGGCGCGAGGACGATAACACACGCCGCGTTTCCGTTTCTCTACTATAGTTAACGTTTAAGGGACAACCTAGATGTGGCATCTTTCATTTTCGCGAGGAACTAATTAGTCGAGCAATAGGATCGCACACTTTTCAGAGCCCGGTTATTTAATCGCACACGAGCCCGAGTAACACGTATTTATACACACGCAGAGACGCGATAACACGGACACGAGGACACATACCCAGGACATGATACACCGAGAACATCTCCAAGAAGCCGAGAAAACGAAGGGGACATACGAGATTGTTTGTCTTTACTGTAAATAGAGAAGGAGCAGCATGTACGGCAAAGGTTCATCGTTATCACTGTAACGTGTAACATAATTTATTTCTCGAGGAGCTCTCGTTGAGACTTCTCTTTAAGTAGCCTAAGAGATCCGGATTTTATTTCGATCCTTCCGCCCGACAGAGGGTCCAGAGCGCACCGCGTCGGACGGGCCGGCCTTTCGACGAGGAAGGGAGTCTCCTTGCTTCTCGGAAGTGCTTCTTGAGTTCGTCGCCAAGCTCGCGAGCCTCTTCGGCATTGTCTCGATTCAGCCGCGGAGAAACGTGCGACACGCATCTGACGATCATGTGATTTACACATGATACGCTTTAAACAATTATTTCTCCCTCTTGTCGCAACTAGAAATCTTTGGAATAATTTCTCCTGGGCAAGACCGCGAACGTTTTCTCGTGCCGTCATCGAGACTACGATCGCACATTTCGACGTAATGGGGACTGTCCTCTTAATATTTATACGATGGATACGAGTCTGTTAGAGCTTATTTAAGAGTTTAAGATATTTAAGCAAGTATTTACAATTATGATTTAAAAATCTAATAGGAGAACGACAAATCTCTAATAAGCACTGTATTTATATATACATATAACCATAGTTAAGAAATTTATTTAAAATGACAAATTTCTAATAGTAGAGATTTACCACCATAATTTAAAAGTTTATTGGAAGAAAACTGTGTATCTATAGGAGACATTTATTACGTTAATAATTTAGGAATTTATTATTTCACGTGTCCATCGTATGCGGGATATCGAAAGCATAGTCTTCGACGGTTTAATCGAGACAGTGGCTGGCGGAATTGTTATTATCGATTATAAGCGCGCTCGTCGCACTCAACGTGTGCGACAACGGCGAACGGCAATATTTTGTAGTTTACTATCGTTTTATCTTTCGCCTTTAAGAGAAAAAAAAACATGAAAAAGCGAGCACACACACGCAAGTATTTCTTTTTCAGTAGGTAGCCCAATTCGTTTGAATAAGTCGCCCGTATCGATAGATTATGTCGAGATAAAACAACGCGTGATAACGCGCACGAGATGTAGCCGTGACGAGGACTCGTGAAACGACGTTCGTTCCCGATTTACTTCGAAAAAAAAAAGCGTGCGAGAACGTACTGCGTCGCGCACGATTTGCTTTAGTCACGGACGCAGAAACGCAGAATCGTTCGCCCATTATTAAACGCGTTCTCCCCCTCTCCCCCATCATCCTCCTCCCCCCCCCAGATCCTCCCCCCAAAGCCCGGCCCCGAGTCCAACTTTTATTTATTACCGATTAGCTCGTAAGAAGACGTTCTACCGAGGTATGCTATACTTATAAATACACCCTATATATAGTGGAGTAAGCAACTTACATTACCTACCTACCAACCTACCTACCTACCTGCCTATCTACCTACCTACCTACCCTACCTACTACCTACCTACCTATCCGCGCGCTTGACGGGTGGAACAAACAGATGAATCACGCAATCATACATTTAAGTTGCTACTTGGCACGTATACCTAAGTAATATACTAACATAAACAGTATGCAATAACAAATAAATATGAGAAACGAAAGATGTGTCTCATTTCATGTCTGCCCTTTCCTTCCACCTTCTCTTTTCAAATTCTCCAAATTTTAGTAAAACTTTTCCAATCTGGTTCGCAGAAGCAACGTTCTCGTGATAAGACACTGATTATTAAAGAACTTTAGTCTTGCTTTTAAAATGTTTCACATGTCGACCGTAAGTCTTGATCGAATTTTATGTGTACCAGGTATATATCGTGTATCCTGCGCACAAATAATGCGTAAAGTTCTAGCCCGAAAACATTTATTTAGCAGCGACACATTTTATACAATATAAATGCAATTCATCGAATATCACGGTTTCTAACTGCAACCGCAGTGAGTTATAAAAAAAATATATCAATCGTATCTTTCTAGTGACGTATGTTAAAATTAGTTTACGTGTCATCTTTATTAGCTAGCAATTTAATTTATTATAAGTCATTTGTGCTCTAAGTGTCAATACAAATGGTGACTAATTCATATTGTGGATTTAATAATAATGTTTACACCTTACTACTACACTGCGATTTTGAATGACGTTCTAATTATTTCCGAAGTGCGTACCTTGCGCGACCATCCTGATTAAGATCCACTTTTTCAAGCGCTTTTTGTTTCATATTTTCTAGTTCTTCACATTTCTTACAGTATAAACCGACAAATTCAGCCGCTGAATTACAGAGCTGCAACCTTATCTCGCTTTCATCAAAAAACCATCGTTATTCAAATCTAAACCAACATGTCATGGTATATGTAAATAGGAATAATAATAAATCTTAACAATAAGATTAATTATATGATAGTGGTTTGATAAATAATTTGGCTTCATATTAAATAGAACAATTAGAGTTTTGCGAGGTATTCTACTTTACGACATAGTCCCGTCGAAGTTCAACGCACTTGCTTCAACGTTTCTCCAGGTTCGTAATTCTTTCGCGGAAGTGGGTTTATTCGAAACCCTCAAAATATGCATTTGCCTCTTGTGTTTAAACTATCATTTTGTTACCAGCGTATAGTGGTGAATCCAAGTTTCATGCATGGTCACAAAACGCCGCAAAAAATCTGTTGGATTCTTCTTGAACACTTCCAAACTGCGGAGTGAGCAGACACGGCAGATCTTGCGTAAAGTGTTTTCATGTCTAATTCATTATGCAAAATAAACTGAACCCGCTCAGTTGAGATACCCGTGGCCTCTGCTAACTCGCGCCCTTTTAATCGGCTGACAGCCAAAACCATATCATTGACTTTATCACGTGGTGCGTCTTCGATGCTTGTTCTATCACGCATATACTCATTTAGTCAAAGTCGAACAGTTTTATAACAAGAGGAGTCACCCAATGTAGGCAAGATTCTCTTATGAATTTACTTCGCTGTTTTCCCTTCCAGAAAAAATAATTGAATTACACCGCGAATTCCAATTTTACCCACTTCTAAGTGGCACTTAAAACGCTCGTGTTTAAGTAATTGTAAAACAACGAATTAGCATCAGAATGACTTGTGATCGTAGAATATTCATCCTTAAGAAGGAAACTTTATGACCACGTATACGAATGTCGCTGTCGCTCTCCATTAGTATGCGAACCAAGTTACTTATCAAACCACCCTCGTATGTGTAATAAAAATGATAATCGTCCCTACCATGACGTTTAAAGGATGTCTCAGAAGCACGTTCTTGATATTCCATAAAAGCTTTCTCATCCCTCACTTCATCCAGTTGTTTCTCAGGATACGACTGCAAATGCGTATTACTTATTAGCGCCGGATTGTGCCCGAGTCGTAGTTTGCGATTCGCAATTCACTATTTGCATACAAGTCTTTAGAACAGAAAAAATAAGTTAATCTCTATTTTTCAACTTACGTGTTCGTCTTCACTCTTGTTAAAGGATCTGGACAAAATGTTCTTCTCGGTAGAACAACTTTTGGATTTATAGAAAATATGATCGGCTTCTTTGTGAATTCGCGCGTCGTACACTAAATATGTATTATTAATTTGAAATCTTGCAGATAATGGAAGACATAGTTGTAGGGGCAAGACGCGATCGACTTACAAAGGAAGAGATGAAAAAGAAAGTCGAGGAGCCGATAAAGATAAATGATGATCCCGGTAACAGAACACTTTTAGCTTGCTCACTCACGACTTTGTGCGTAATTATTATTTTCTGAATTAACATGTTTCATTTTCGGTAGATGTTCAAGTGGAGGAGAACAAGTTTTCCTCCACTC